GACGTGTAACGCCATCTATGCGTGAGATGCCCAATGACGCATGACAGGTGTCCAATGACACACAGATTCCGTTTGGTTTGACAGCGCCATCTAGCGGCGGAATCCCCAACTCATGATTACAGATTCCGTCCAACAACCTGTCAATGGCGCGCGACGCCAGCGCCTCTGGTGGCGGATTTTGGAAGTTTTGAGACCGAATCCCCATAAGACATCTACTAACGACTTTTATTTTAAGCGAAGTTTAACTTAACACTCAGCAATAACTAGCACTAGAATATAGAAAACAAGTTTAGCAAAGTACTCTTCCAAAATTTAAACAAAAATTTCTCATACAATACAACGTATACATGAGTGTATTAAAAAAATTATAAATGATTTATACGATATATGAATTATATACTGGAGGTTTCAGGAAGAACCATACTTTGAATGTCAGTAAATAGAATATTTCTTGATTGGACATATTCACGAGATATCAATCTATTTTTCAAAAATGAAGGAATCGAAGTAGGTAGGAGTTTGTGAACATAGAATAATAAATGACACTTTTACAACTTTATAATATTCAACCATGTCAGCTGTTCGAAGCCTGAACTAATATGATCGTATTTTCTTTAGTCGATAATCTGTCTACAACATGAATTTTGAATTTTTTGTAGAGATTTAGCTGAAACTGAATCTAGAAATGGATAGTATCCTTAATCACAGTATGTGATTTTTGATCTTATCGAAGATTTACATATATTTTTTTTAATCTAAGATCAAGTATTGCTTTAGGTACAGATGCCGTAAAACCGTAAAACCTAAGTTTCTGACTGATTCTTCTATCTGAATAGCATGACCCCTTAGAGTAATGCTCAAATTATTTTTAATAAGGGACCTTAAATTCTTAGGGAAGAAATAATAACTTTCAATTAATTAATTAAATTTCTAAATTTTCATAATTGAAGCTATGATATAATTGTGAGTCGTCAGCAAAAAAACTGAATATTACAAAATTCCACAACCCTTTTTATATGTGCTATATACAAAATACAGAGAACTGGTTCAATAACTGATCCTTGAGGCACTCCTGAGGAAATCAGAAGTTCTGTAGAAAATTCTGAATCAACGACCACCTTTTGGGACCAGAAAGCTGTATATTGAACTCAGTGCGGAATCATCAAAACAGTAATGCCATTTAGCAGTCAACGGAGAGGTATTTATTGTATCGAACGCCTTTGTGGAGTCCAAGAGAACAATGTTGTAATTAAATCGTCATCTCACGCTTTGGCGATATTACTAAATGGCCAGAAACGGTTATTTAAGATGCGACAGCACGGCTCAGTGGCAGCAATGCCAGAACACTTACCAAGAGCGGCACGTCCGCCGATGAACTCAGAAGGCAGAAACAGGGACGCTTCTTTTATATTGCATTATTACGGCATGAAACAATCTGACAGATTTAATTTCAACCATATTCATCTTTAAAATTCCGACTGTTTGGCTACTTACCTTTCTGGAAACACGGCTCCAACGGCAATGAATTCCGGAAAATAAAGAGGCTGAATTGTGGGAAGCAGCAGAAAGGCAGAGAGTTTGGGGAACACAAAACTAGTTTGATTTAAGTTTATGGTGGCATCGGAATGGTTATGGCATTAATAGAGCCACCAGTGCATTGCATTCCTATATTATTGCGAAAAGAATACCTATAAATTTGCGCGGATTACAGAGCTCCCATTCTCATAGATAAATACGGGTTGATCCGAATAAAAGTATGCAAACAGGTTTTTAATCGATATCTGAATAAGACTCCAACATTGACGTTTTATTCATAATTGCCGCACTGGCAGTGTTATACTATATGCTATTTTAATCTGGTACCCAAGTGAAGCAGTTCGTGTTTTCTGTTGTGAACTTTTTGGTAAAAAATAAATTTGATAATTGGCGGCTGTTCGCAATAAGACAATAACCGCTATATCTAATCAAAGAAGATCTGATTTTAAATGTATTTTCATGCAGTAGAGCTCTTCTCAAAAGCAGTGTTAGCCGTAAGTCACGGTTCTGTGAATTTAAGTATAAAGCATAATTGGCGGTTTTTGAAAAAGTTTGTCTCTCTAGTTGCATAACCTTTCCAGTTACCCTCAAGAATATATTTATGTGATAAAATCCGTCTGCACAATAGATTTTTTATGAAATTCTAGATATCCTGGCTTACATGTGATATCAATCGGTTGTTCAACAAGAAACTGCCGATTATTTATTTATCGTAGACCGTCAGATTCAGTCGTCTGCATATTTTGGACTACTTTTTTTAATTATATCATTATGATAACCGACCCGTGAGGTAGCAAATGAGGATCGATACTACGACAACAGGCTTTGCATCTAATGAAACCTACCTGTCTCTCTAAAAAGATATATGCAATCTTCAACCGCCTTGCGCGGTGACAGGAGAGCTTGGGGCTTTCGATTACCGGCAGGAACAGTGTCATGAGATAACAGGTCATACGGCTGAGGTCTGGCAGATGCTTTTTTGCTTTTGTACTGATATTTTACGTGATGGGATGTAAATTGAAATGAGGATCCTAGCCCTCCTTGCATATCCCTTGTACGATGCGAAAATCCTTTGCATATTTCACGGTGAGATAAATGAGACGTGAGGGTAGATCAGGTCTGAAAAACCGAATTTACATTGGGGAACAGATTTGGTTCGCCCTTGTTTTGTTACGGTTGTGAAGCCGGATAAGATAAGGCTGCCTAATCTAGATATGAGTGGAATAGATTTATCTAGACCCCGCCTATCAGTAATAAGATGCTATGTACATTTGTATTCCAATATTATTATTATAATCTTTTAAATTCCACATATAAAGTACTCAATAACGGATGTGTTTCAATACATAAGTATGATTCCGAAAGTGTTTTTTTTATACTCCAACTACCACGAAGGCCTAAGGCCTAAGCACCCATTGGGTACCGTGGGGCTATAGGGGGCTACATGAGAAAGGGGGGGGACGCCACACGGACTCTGGCGAGGGAACACGTGTGCATGCAACATGCACACATTCTGGCTCCGCCTACGAGAACCGCCGGGTGGTACCTCCGCGTTCGAGAGTCAGAGACCATCTACCACCTACGGATAATCACTACATCCATAGCCAAGAGAAAAATTTCTCCTGGGACGGGACTCGAACCCTCACAGCGCACGGCGACTGATCAGGAGACCGAAGAGTCTACTACTGCGGCCACCGCTGCTGCCTGTTGAGACATTGCCATATTACTGCAAGGATATACGTATATTAGCGTGATTTTATATTTTGTAGGAATAAGTAAAACACATATTTAATAATAAGCTCTCATTTAGTTGTCAATATAATGAGCTACCGTCGGAAAAAATTGACGCAATTTCACAGAATAGCGAGGAGTTTGCACAGTAAGCATATCACAATTAACATTATAATTATCTGAGCTATCAATTAGTTATCCATACGAATTAGTACGAGCAGCTCTACCATAAACGATTGTTGGAATCTCTCAGAAATTCAGTGTTTGAATGAACCACTTGACGGTGTAAACGGCGGTGGGTGTAACCTTCCGTAGCCTACCGCTCATCTGGCGGCGTCTGAAGATTGCACTGGGGAATTTGGTTGTGTCTAAATTCTGGTTTACCTATATTGTGCTATTTTGACACTAATGTTTGTTAGACGCAATCGGGTACTGTTGCGTGTTTTTCTTATCTCGATTCGTAACGAAGGTCTATATCGAAGAAGACCAACTACGCCAGAAAATGGCTTATCATCGGTACCTTTGAGGCCCTAAAAGTTTGCTTTTTCGAAATCTGACGGGAATTCGAACAGTCAGGCTCGTTTCCTACGCTCAAAATGTTTATCGTTTAATCGTTATATAATTTTTATCTTGCATATACAGTGTCCAATAAGTACCACGATAAACTTAAGGAGAAGGTAGGCTTTGGACTGCCTCCTAAATAACAAAAACTTACCTATATAAAAGTGTTACCGTTTTTGAGATATTGATTTTTTTCTTAAATTTAAAAAAATCGTATTTCTTCATATGTGGTCTTTAGCTGCATGTACAAATAACGTTATACTTTGTTCATTCTTTCTATAAAATACTTCTAGATAGTTGCTCTATCATATACAAATGCAATGTAGTTAAAAGATATTAAGCAGCCATGATAAAATAACTGTTTTGGGATTTATAACCTTCTGATATTGTTTCTGTAACTTTCATAAAATCATATCAGGAGCAAGTAATAATAATGTAGCTTTGTACTATTAGGCATGTCACTGATCGGTAACTGGTGGAACTTGAATTTAACTCCAATAATTACGTTGTAGTGTGTGTCAGTCACATGAAAGCTATCACTTTTTTATATTCCAAATAGTACGTGTGGTGCCTTTCTGAAATCTGTAGTCAGTGAGCAATCTTTTTATTCAATATGATGCAGTTATAGCCCAGTAAATTTTTGTTTCACCACAGATGGTCAAAGTTGAGGAAAAAATATCAGAAGGTTATAAATCCCAAAACAGTCCTTATTTGATCATGGTTGCTTAATATCTTTTAACTACATTGTATTGCAACCTTTTTTTTTGTTGAGGCTTCCCGGACTATACATTATATTTTCATGCCCCGCTTGGCTTTTACAATAAATACAAAAAAACGCACATTATATAGGTACAAAGACTTTTATTTTAATTCTAATAAAGGAACTTTGAAAGTTTAAATCAACTAATAAATGTTTTTTATCGAATAACTTGAATAAAATAAGGGTAGGTACTGATGAGACACTTGAGATTGCATGTTATGAACCAGTTGGTTGATTCTAGGTTCTGTTGTTGCCAGAGCTATCATCAGATTGCTGTCGACATCAAGACGATTTCGCTGTTTAGTTTTAATTAAAACTAGAGCAGAAAAGCCTGTCTCACATAAGCAAGTTGAAGAACTAGTATTCGTAAAGCAAGAGAGGGAAGTGTCGAATTAACAGGCAATCTTTTGATTCAAAATTTCTCCAATATTAAAAGATGGAAGTCATCTTTCATGGTCGAATCAGCCTTCATTTCTAGAAATTCTTCCTGAACTTCTTCTGGTAATTGTGACACATCGACAACAATTGGATTTCTTGTCATGTGCCATATTGGTGACTCTGAATTGATGTCTCGATAGTATCGGCGAAATTCGTCTTCCAGCGCTTGCATATGAGTTTTTAGGTCAGATTTTAAATTTGCGTCCAGTATGTTATTTTTAATTGCTTCGAACAGCCGAGAAAAAGATATAACATTTTCAGAAGACACTTTTTGATTCCAAAGTTGAAGCTTTGATATGAACCCCTGAATATAATCATAACTGCTTATGTGTTGTTTCTGCCCTCAAGTTTCAAGTTTCAAGGAGTCAAATAAATCAGTTAAATAAGCCAACCTCCATTGAAATGTGTCATCTTTGAACATTGCCAAGAAATCGTGTTTTTCTTTAAGCTCAAGAAAAATACCTCTTCTTTCAATTCATAAAGGCGAGCCAACATGTTGCCTTTGGACAGTCAGCGTACTTCTGTATCGAACAGAAGAACTTTGTGATAAGAATCGAGATCCTCGCAAAGTAAAGTATACATAGTATAACCGACTGTTCAAAGTGCTGCTCTTGGTGTAGTTTACAATCCTTATAGCCGAGTCCAAAGTCTGGCTTAATTTCTGTGGCAATTGTTTTGGAAGCCAAAGCTTGCCGTTGAATAACACAATATGTGCTAACCATTGCGGAATTTTTTTCCTTGAGCTTTTCAGCTAAGCCCGATCGTACACCTATCATTGCAGGTGCGCCATCTGTGCAAAGTTCAATGAGTTTCTTCCAATCCAAATAATTTTTTCAACAAAATTTGATATTGAGTTAAATATACCTTCAGATGTAGTACCTGCTGTCAAAGATTGGGAGTACAAAATTTCTTCTTGAATGATGTCTCCGCCGATGTAACGAGCATAAACTATTAACTGTGCACAATTAACGATGTCGGTCATCGCAACTAATGGCAAAAAATGGCGATAATTTTACTTTGTTAATTAATTGTGACTTTATGTCTGCTGCAATACCATTGATTCTACGCTTGACTGTGTTATTCGAAAGAGAAATAGACTAAATTTTTTGCTCTGCATCTTCTCCTAAAATTATCTGGGTGGCTTTTCGGACAAATGGTTTTATTAATTCGTCACCGATAGTATGAGGTTTCTTTTGCTTTGCTATCATAAAAGCTATTTCAAATGAAGCTTTGAGATGCTTCGATACACCTGTGTGATAACGTCCCGATTCATCCAGTCTCATGCGCTTGAGTGAGTCTGCTTTAGAAGAAAAAACTCTTTCGTCTTCAAAAGTAGGATGTAGGTTGCTTCAAATGCCTTTCGAGGCCATTGGGCCTCATGCTATCATTACTTAAAACTTTCATACAGATCACACACTGAAACAATTGTAACTCGTCCTGTTCTATGAAGGTAAATCCAAACTTAAAGTAACCTTCGGAAAACTTTCTTTTTTTACGCTGCCATTTTGCACCTATACCAATAAAACAAATAAGTAATAAATAAATAAATAAGCAAAATACCTACATGTAATTACTTATCATATGTCCATTATTTTATCTTAATAACGTAATGTATTCAACAGTATATTAGCCACCGGGAGATTTATATTTTTGTTGGCAGGTGACGTTATAACAGTAATTTTAAATACATTTGGAATCAATATTAGGTACTTGAATTTCGTCGTTTCATAATTTTTTTGCCACGTTAGTTTGATTGTGATGTGGTAAAAAGGTACCAATGGCCGATCTATGAACAATCTATCAACAATTTAGTAAATTAAATAAAAATGGTAAGTGAAGTTTGTAAAGATTTCTCAACAAAACGTGTACTTCGAAACGTCAAATTTTTCGCAAGTTTGTGGGAACTGTCACAGATGATCATCCGCGTCTGGTAGGTACACAATAATTGTTTTCTAAGTGATGAATGTTAATGTTATTTGTTAATTTTTTTTGTTTTTGCCTTCTAAAATGCAAACGCTTTCCGCCCCTCTTGACATCTCTCTATGCCCCCCTTGGGAGGCGCACCCTGGTTGAGAACTCCTGGAATAAAGGGATGAAAATCCATTACTGGGAAGTCTGAAGTATGGGCTTTCTTATGCAAAAGTCGCCAGGTTCGGATCTCCGTTATCTTCGGAGAAGATAGATCCTCAACAGAGAAAAGCTGCGCTTTGTACGCAAAAAGTCATCTTTCCAACATTTGAAATTTGTTAGGTGCCCTAAACGAAAAAAACTCTCTCCAGGTAATTCCTAGTACTTGTTGAGGTGTACAAAATGAGCCACGCCAAATTCATTTTCTCTTTGGCATAAAGGAGATATCAGAGTTTTTACGGAAATTCGCCATTTTCTCGCTTTACCTTTGAAAATTTCTAGAGAAAAACTAAAATGCGAATCAAAAAAAGGGCAACCCTATCTGACGCGTTTCTCATTTAGCTATCGAATGAAACCGATCTCGAGTCGATATTTTGAGAAACGGCGGAACGTAGCTTAAAAAAGTCTTTGTATTACGCGAAAACACAGTTTTTTAGACTTTAACAGCCGTTGTAACACATCCTTCGTCCGGTACTTCAACAGTTCGTATTTGCTTGTAAAGCGCCGAGCTTCTAACTTCTGAAACGGTATCGTCTTCCGATAAAACCTTTCGCGAACCGTCAAAAAAAAAAACGGAAAAACCAGACTCGAGAGAGGAAGTGAAAAAAAAAACAAAACAAAAGATCACAGCTTAATATTAACAGTGCACAGGGCCCGGAGGCTAGCTCCAATCTTTCCTATCAAGAACATTGCTTAGATAGATATTAAGCCTGTTTGATTTTGTTGCCACTACGTCCTCCCTATTCTGCAGTCAAAGACCGTAACAATGTTTTGCGTCAGCTCACGTCTCCCGCGACGTGATCGTGAATATTCATACATACCGACAGCAAGGAAACAGCAATTTCGTTAAGATAGGACACCCAGATAATCCAAAGACCGAAGACAGTTAATCCTTGCCTAAAGGACTCTGTTGTCGCTAGTCGAACGCCGGTTTTTGCAATGCCCTCGGGGTATCAGGAAGTAGAACGACGACTGTTTCATCAGAGCTCCGTAGCTGAGCTGCATAACCTCGGGCTGGAAATGATTTCCGACGACTCAACGCGATTTATTGCTGCCCTCGTTTGTCTAGTTTCCATACAAGTTTGGTCCGTAGCTTTAGCATCTTACGCGGGTATTGCGGGAATAAAATGCGCAGAGATAAACCAGATAAAATGTTTCAAACCTAAACGTGTTTTGAGTTTGAACGGTCTTGTGGCAGATTTATTGCAAGCTGTGTTCTGCTATCTTGTATCATGACACAGACAGCCTAATTTATAGATTTGAGAGCAATATCTTAGAGGATTCCCAGCCATAGCATATGGTAAAATGAAACAATTTATTTTAACAAGATTGTTCTTCAGTCTGAATTTTTCCAAAAATCAGTCTTACAGCTACGAATAGCACTTCCCTAATATGGAATGACCAAAGTCATCAACACATAAGCCTTCAATGACATCGAACAGCTTTTCTTTCCGTCGGAGTCGCTGCAATAGTTGATAATAACCATAACTGTGTTTCCATAATGGAAGTGAAGTCACTGATGCTGATTCGTAATCAAGATTTCCACATACTTCAATTCCTATTTATTGATTAAAATCGTATATAGAATAAAAACAATGCATTGGTCCATTGGTCCCTCGTTCAAGTTTATAAACATTTCCTTCGCATACTTCTCATAAATATTACTTTTGCATTTTCTCTAACGGATGAGACGGTACTTTTGCTACCCTTAGTGCGTTTCTGACCTATGTGAATTTTTGCAAAATGTTACTTTATCATCAATCTGTGAATAATTACTACTTTATACACATATTGTTGTAGCTGCTGCCAACAAGAGTGGTTTTGTAGTGGTTTGTGGATAATGGAAATGTGGTAGAATTAATACGTATGTTTTACCTTACACGGTTTTTTAAAACTAAACTCAGTGCCCTATCAAGTGGCTACTATGCGTGTTGCTAATCCTGTCAAAAAATACTATTATTTCTTGGTTCTATTTCTTTTCCTGTCATGTTGAGAATTAGTAAGTGAAGTAACCTCCATTATGTAATATAATGTTTACTTTGTGATGCGAGAAAAATGTGACTTTACGTCTTAAAAATAGGATTATAATTAAACAATACTTGAGTGAGGTATAATTTTATTTTTTAGCAACTATTCTCCAAAGTTTTTCTGAAAATCACGTCTCTTAAAGATACTGAAAAATATACGAAAGTGTTTTTCCCACTGCAATATAGGAATGAAATTTTCAAGCTCTCTCATAGGGATAAACAGCGTTTTTAGAACTGCTTCTTAAAACGCACCAATCTGAGAGGCCTAAAAAGATCCATGAGTTGTATTGTTTTCACTATAAAGTTAAAAATACAAAACTATATGAATGTCCTAAGAAAATCACGTAAAAGCTAAAAATATGTTGTAGCAAAGTGACATTGAATTCAAAATTTTTGTGTGCTGAGTCATTTTGAAATTCTGGAAAAACTCATGAAAGTGAGACAAAAATGTTCATCCATCGATATGCTAGCGGACTTTTTTACGATGTTTTAACCATTTACGGTTTCCACACAGTAGCACCGTTTCTGCACTATCTGTTATAGTTCATGATAAAATCTCCAATTTGGATAACAACTTGGCAACGGTTCTTGTCTCTCTCGATTTTAGTAAGGCATTCTACACCATGATCTACCTGTACTTCTAGTCAAGTGTACTTATATTGGATTTCATAAGACGGCACTACGTTTCCTAGCGTCATATCTTAAACACAGACTACAACAGGTGGTTCTGGGAACAATTATTTCAAATTTATAGAATGTTCCCTCAGGGGTACCACAAGGTTCAGACCCAGGGCCCCTCTTGTTCTTGATATGTACGTCATAATTAAAAACTCGAGTGTAACTTGTTATGCCGATGGTACTCAATTATTGTTAAGCTTTCCACTTGATGATTTTAAAATGGATGAGGTTAAAATTAATATTGATCTCAAAAGTATCAATCACTATTCTGCTACTAACATGAAACTCAATCTTCAAAAAACAAAGTAGCGATTATGTGAATCATTAATTATGTCCAAAATTTTATATGCAATTACAGTGTATTATCCTTGGTTAGATCAAATGTCTGCCTACAGTCCCACTTGACTAATAATCTAAAGAAATAATAATAGAAGTAGGACATTACTTCTAATATTCATAAGCCCTACCTGAACTCAAGTTCTATATACTCTACTGCTAAGATAGACGTGAGCGCCTCCAACAGTGTCATTTTTCTGTTTCCCTCTACGAACACTTGAATATTTTTCACAATTCTTGAACCAAGCCCCAAGACTTCATCTGCGACTGTTCATCCTGCAGAAAGTGTGGGTGTATGGCGGCTGCTTCATTAGGAGGCGGAATTGAGGGGCTTCACAGACGCGTAAAGGATTGCTGACGGCCCGTTTATCTCTCTTCCTTCTCTTTGCGGAGGAGGGAGATTGCGGAGGAGCTTCCGTTTAAGCCGGCACCGCACTTTTATTTTGCTGTATATTCGCCCGGCAGCGGTTCGGAGTAGCTGCGATGGAGATGCTTGAAAACAGCTCTTCGCGAACCGACAGCCTGCATTCAAACGCTCAAGACGACTCTCTGTCTCCACGCCTACAGGGCATGCATGATTTCTCTGTCTGGCTTTCAGAGTCCTTAGATGTAGATAAGTGATTGTAGGCACTGTTATTTACATGATGTCTAGCTGCCATTAATTTGAAAATGAAAAAAAAAGCTTTACTTCACGAACAGTGCATTTAAACACTCTCCAGCGATGTACAAGCTATTCCATGGTTACTGCTACTGAGCATAAGAGCTCTGGATCGATCTAAGTTGGCTGAACGAGCTCAATGAATTTAAAAACCTTATGCACAGGGTGGCCAATATATGACTGATTTAAATTGCGCGCCATCTTTGATACACGCATTTCAGTGGGTGGCGCCGTAGTAGTTGTTTAAAGCACATGTGACCAATTCATCATGGAGCACTACATGATCCCACAACGCGTCCGTATTGTGAAAAAGTTTTGCTTAAATAATGAGTCGATTGTTGCAGGGACTCGGAAGCTACGACAAGATTTCTGTCGAAATAATGTGCCCAGTGTCAACACCATTCGTCAGTTGGTGCGGAAATTTGAACAAACTGGTGATGTTAAAGACTTGCCAATGCCGGGCAGTGTTCGGACTGTTCGTACTCCGGAAAATATCGATAGAGTTCGTAAAAGTGTAATGGTGCACCCTGAGACGTCTACCAGACATCGTTCTCAAGAACTGGGTATTCGTCGCACGTCATTATGCACTATTTTAAAGAAAGACTTGCATTTGCGGCCATAAAACATTCAGTTAACCCAAGAACTA